CCCCAAAACCCCAAAACCCCAAAACCCCAAGAGAGGATTAGTAATTGAGAGTTTTATTCTTCCTTCAAATGGCCTGGATCTCCTTCAATTTTCCTGATATCCTCCTCAATGAAATCAAGGACATAGTCAAGCAAGAGCTGAGGATTCATTTTCATCTGGGCATTAGCAGAGATGGTAAGTCTAAGCTCATCTCTGTAGGTCATGGCAGCAAAGAAAATTTTCCAGTTGAAGTAAATACTAGCAAAAGCTCCAACTTTTGTCACTTCCTTGTTGCACAAGTACCATGGTTCTGAAGAGAATGGAATGTTTGAGAAGACCAGGTCGATATTTTGAATAAAATCTTCTATTATTTTTCTTCCTAAATACTCTGGAACCAAACCTATGACATATCCCATGGATTTATAGCTCAGGATAGCAGGAAGGTTAAAGAATCTGTAAAAGTTGGATCTTCAAGCATCCATTGCTTCTGGAAGATTATCCTTCATTGGCAAAAGAAATTTTACTCCTAAAGAAGAGGTAAAGTAAGATTGGAAGAAAGAGCTTGAGCTTACCAACACTGTCATTTTGAATAGATATGTCTTCGAATGTCTTTGGAGGTGATCTGGTGTTCACTGAACAAAAAGTTAGTAACTGCTTTGCTCCATTAACCCCATGGGCTTTGTACCATTTATCAAATGCGACTGAAAGAGTTCCCATTAAATAATCATTGAAACTGACTCTTTGTTCAGGAGTGCATAGTTTATTTATAGCATTTTCTGACTTTAGCAAAAGAAATTCTTCTTTTAGCTGAATATAAACGCACATCTTTTCTATCTTTTCCGTTGATATTGTTAATAGCAGAAGCTTTTGCATCTGTTGCATATCTTCCATTTATAAAACTCAGATATGAAGAGTACCACGGACCAATAAGGATAATGTATAATCGATAGAATATACTAACTTTAGGAAAAGTTTTGTCTACTTTGACATTTTTGCCTTCATCGTTGACACTTGAAATCAAACTCAGAAATCCTCCTGCATCTGTGAATGAATGGTGTAAAGATACGAAGATCACAGACTCAGTTGCTGAATAGTCTTCCACAAGAGACATCTTCCACAGAGGCTTGCTGTAGTCCATCTTCGTGTTGGCGATGTCTTCACAATGCTTGAGTCACTCTTGCTCAGTTTTGATAGACTTCGAAGACTTGACGAGCTGGCCTTCTCCCGCCTGAGGGCCGACATCTTTCCAGAAATAGACTCCGAGTTTTGAAACGAGGACGGACCTGAGTTTGGGAATTCTGAGGACGGCTCTCTGGTAGAAGTGGTTCTTAAAGGTTGGATAGTCCACTTTCTCCATTATGAAGTATCCTGCTAAATTATTCAGTGCTCCTGGATATTCATACGCTAATGATAAGTCTCCAAAACTTAGTCGATAGTAACCAATAGCTGAAAGAGCTTTGTCTGCTGCAAGAACAAATACTATCAGAAATCAGACTCCATATAGAACTCCAAAGAGGTAATATGAAGTGAGGATAACAAAAAGGTGAAATAATCCGTATTCCCACATTACTATTTTATTTTTTATTTGATATTTACCATAAATCTCTTTGTTAAAGGGGTTTTGGGGTTTTGGGGTTTTGGGG